AGTGACAAATAAAACTGTACGGAGTGTGTTAACCGCTCAGTGGAAAAATCTATGGGAACTTTTAATGCTACACTCTAGGGCAGAGAGGAAATTATGCCACAACTGGACTGCAGCTCTTAGCAAGGTCAGCCCAGACTCCAGTTCAGCAGCAGCTTGGGAAAAAAAAAACACCTTACAGAGGAAAAAAAATCGGACAGCACTGGCTCCCCAGAAACTGCCGGCGCAGCTCGAACCGCGTATTGTTACAGCTGAACCACAGCAGCTCCTGCATTCCCAGCCTCTCCCAAAGCATCCGAAATAGCCCAAGTCTGGGACTCCCAAGGAAAATTTGGTTACGCCCTGCAGAGGAATGTTCCACCCACGACTGTTGTTTCCTCCCATAAAAGGATCATTAGTGAGATAATTTCTGAAGTTCACGGTATTGTCTACAGATTTTACTGAAATATCGCACCAGGAAGGGGAAGCCAAATGAGCCAGACTATTTTAAGGCTTTTGCATTTGGAGGAAATTCTAGGGCAAAATTTCAAAAAGGCACATGCTTTGAACTGGGAAACGTTACGCTTTGTGGAGAAGGGCGCATTCCTGTCTTTAGAGCTGCTTAAATAACTCTTTTGGGGCCACATCTATTTGATCATCTTTATTTTTAGATTTAGAATCTGCTTTTTCAGACACTTAAATACTACTTTATATGAACACGTGTATGTGATCAAGACTATTGGGGAAACAGTTTAAAAGTTAAAGACTGACTATAAAAAGCTACTCTTGCATCCTTCTCACACCTATGATTCACCTCGAAGACCTGCTCAATCATCTCAGCACCCAGGTGGAGCTCAGAAGTGTTATCCCCATCATCACCACGGCCACGTTACCAGCCAGACAGGACAGGAGACTCGATCACAGGGAGTGCAGTGACTGGATCTGCAATGGGGATTTTGAACTTGCTACCACTAAGGTCTCCTTTTCTTTAAGGAGCATGGAAAACACATTCCCATAGCTGCATACTGCATATACCCCCTGGGTCTGACTGGGACTTAGACTGCTCTAACTGGGAGAATAACATACATGCAGCACTATTCAGACACGTCTCTGCTGGCAGCACGCCTTCACCATAAGTGATCAGTAAAACGTTACCCTGGTCTCAAAACCAAGGCTGGGCTCCCCTCTCCTGGACGCCTGCGAAGGTGCAGCTCTCAACAAGGCTCAGCAAAGCACCGCTCCTCCACGAGAGGGAAAGCTGCTTTGCTGGGCTCAGCTGGTAAACCACCCCTTCCCCAAAGAGAACACAAGCTGTTAAAGGCTGAATACCTTTGGTGTGTCTTCTAGGAACCTGCCTGCTATCACTGGTCTCCTAACACGCTACCAAAAAAAGAGATTAGATAGGTTGATGGCAGGTCTGAGGCCTCAGTGATTTGGGCAGATCTTCAACCAACGGCCTGCGCAAGATTCCCAACCCCGCGTTTGGCAGCTAAGGCTGACGGGAGATGGAAAAGCCAAAGCTGAGCTTCCTGAACCAGCTTCTGCATGCACGGCACAGGGTGCTTCCTCACCTCCAAGGGCAGCAGGGATGGTAACTGCTCGTGTGTCCAGCTCTGCCTCCCCACGCCGACCTGAGGCAGGCAGGGCACGGCTAACACGGACAACTGAGAGCAGGGGCTCAGCAGGGAACTCCCTCCTGACTTGCTTTCACTTAAATAAGAACTTTTTTGTACTTCTACCACTGTGTCTGAGGTTTATGTTTCCTTTGGAAGGAAGTCAGAGATTGAAAGGATGTTTATGAAAACTATTATTTACTCTCCAGACAAGGATGGCTCCTCTAGCTCCAATACCACACAGTCAGGCAATTCTGGCAAACGCTGATTACAGATCGCTTCATGAGTTGTTAGAAGAGAATGCAACTGAAGAAAAGAGGCTTTTCCAAAACACCTTCCAGGTCCAACCTTGCAATAAATACACAGGATCCTGAGATCTCACTGAAATTCAAGCAGCTACAACATCAGAGTTCATATACATTTTTATTTACAGCACGCACTTCCAAGGACTCGATAAACTGCATCATTCCTCTCTGGTCTCAGTGTGTCAAGGGATGGAAATACACCAAAAGGAATGGCTTTTTCAAAACCTAGTCTGCTGCAAGTACTGCACACTACTGGCTATAGACACCTCACACAGTAAGAAAGCACTATAAATGGGAAAAGGTATCCAAAGATTAAACTTTTCGCTGTGGCTGGTTCTAAGCTTTGTTTCAAAACTATTGCAAAAGCTGTTTGCTAACAGGTTCTTTAATAATCAAGGGTGGTTTGCAGTTGTGGTTACTGTGATACAATGCAATAACGATCCTCATCCTGGGCTTCCTAAGGGAGAGGTTCACAGGATGACACTGTCTATCCAGTGTATGCTTCAATCAAATTCTGATAGGAAATATCGGTCTAAACATCTAAATTCCTACAAATTTAATAAGAATAGAAGATCAGTGGAAGAAAGAATCTAATTTTATTGTGGGACCAAACTACTACCAGGAAAGGTAAAGAAGGATAAAAGCCCCTTTCAGTAGCACTCCCTTCCCAGCAGAGCACTGGCTTTTCTTACAGGCACCTTGCTTTCAGTTGTTTCAAAACAATTTCCATTTTCATTGGAAAATGAAACCCTTCCTCTCCAAGTGGGAGAAGCCAGGCCTTTTGTTGTATAAAAATTTAACATTTCTAAGTGTCCTTGATTCCACTGAGAACACACTGGTGAAACAAAGGCACTCTTCAGCACAGGAATAGACAGCTGAAGCTGAAAAGCAAGCTTTTCACCCCCACGATCGGCTATCAACGGCGTGGTCATGTGCAAAAGGCTGCTTCACTCCCCCAGCTCGCACACAGCATGAACTACTTGGAGAAAGTAGTGCAAGGGGTGACAGCAACAGCAAGTATTTCTTCTAGGATTCCTGTGTCTGGCTCCGGGGAAACAAATATCAAATTCTGTCTCAAACTGAAATGCAATTCAAGCATTCCCCAGCACTGCAAGATGACCTCTTTGCTGCAGGTCCCTCCAAAGCTAACATGCAAGGCCTGAGCTTGCTAATGCTCCTTTACTGCTTTAAACTCCGAGGCCCAGCCAAGTCCTGCCACTCTGACACTCTTGTTCATTTGAAATGCACATACAGGCGTGAAATGGTGAACTTCGATTTGACATGCAGAAAGAAAAAGCTCACAGCATTTCAGGTTCAAATATTTTTTCTTACCAGAGAACTAACACTTTCAAATAATCGAATGGTTTCAGTATTTGTTGGAATATCTTTAAGAAACACCTGTTACACTTCTGAGAGACTGTCTGGCCTTAGCCCACGCTGTCCGTGCAACTTTGCCAGCTTTGGTGTCTTTCTTAAAGTCTGCTTCTACCTTGCAAAGCAGAAAAGTGAGGGAAAATGGGAAAATTCACAGCTAAATACAGGAATATTTGTGACTAACTGCAGCTCTGGGCCACTTAAAAGATGCCCTGCACAGACACGTCACATACACACATGTTTGAAGGTTTTTACTTGGATTCAAGTTTAATTGGTTCCTTTGCAAGCAAACTAAACAAAGGGCTGCACAGACAGATCTGCCTCCCCAGTACTTCAGAGCAGGACACTGCCCAAGTCCGTCTGCACATGCTTTGGAGAACTTCAAAGGGATTAAAGAGTGAGAAAGCACAGACACAGGCAAAGCTCTAAACAAAGCTTGCCGTATCTCCGTAGCACACAGACTCTTTTGTTATCCTGCAAGCACAGCTGATGGCAGCATTGCTTTTGTTCATCTCTCACCACATTCATTCTTTGGACCTGCAAGTCCTGAGGCACTCCAGGCAATTCTCACCCACAGTTCTTCTCCATCCCACTTTTTTGTGGTCTTCTCTGAATTTGTCCCCTTGAACAGGAGCAAAAGGCTGCAACAGCACCAGCTTTCCAATCACACCCAAACTCTTCAAGTACTGCACTAGTTTCCACTCCCTCCTTAATTTCTGTAATTGCCTCCTCACCTGATTTCTTGTCTCATCCTCACACAGTCATTACAGGCATACCACATCCCAAGCACATCCCCAGTTTAACACCAGTAGTCAGGTAACCATGCAAGCAGTAAACTATTTCTGCTAAGAGAGCTAAGCATCTTGCATGTTTTTGAAAGCAATACAAAGGCATGGATCATAGATAAGTTAAATAATTCAATCAAGGACACAGAATCTGTGGCAGAGGTAGGATCAGAAAAATACACCAATCGCTACTGCAGCAGGAAGTGGAAAATACACCCAGCCATGCTGGTGAGGGCATGACCACCACATCCCAGCAAATCAGTCTTCCATCTGGGATTAAAAAGATGAGTCAATGTTGACTCTGAGGAAAGCAGTGTGATTGACAATTCAAGACATTAATGTTCCTGGTCTAAACCAGGACAGACACAGGAAATACAGCAGCACTGGGTGACACCTCAAAATCTGATAACACGTGCACCAAGCTCAGCACTCACAAACACTGCAGCCATGCCTGTGCTGCTCAGTACCGTACTCTGAGCAAACACACCTGTCAAGCAGAAGACAAGTGAGAACCTGAGAGCTGAGTGCGACATGCAAGATGAACTGGCAGTCAGTCATCAGGCTTAGTCATGAGCAACTCGGGAGACTCCAGCAAACAACCTAGTTAAAAGGCTAAATAGCCTTTTATTGATCCTTACTCAGTAGCAAATGTGCTTGTACCTATTTAATCCTGTTCATTTTATCATTAGCTTCAGAAAGGCACAACCACAAGCCTCCTGGTTTTGCTTTTGATTTTTAAATCAATTTCTCATTCACTTCTCTTTGGAGGGCGATCAGAAAGCAGGCTAGGACAGCTGTTCAGGGAGCAGCTCACCAAGCCATTAGTGTAAGATACAGCAGAAACACCTCCCTAACAACGAGAGCGGGTTCTGCCTGCCAGAGCCATTCTTCAATGAAGCATCGCAAGACGAGAACTCGTGGTGTCACTGGAGACGAGATGCACGTACCTGTCTGCCATCCTGTCCCACGTTGGTCTGTCCTCTCACCACAGTCCGAATGTTGTCATCCAGCCTCCTGGAGAAAAGAATCTACAATGTCAAACTCATTCTCTGCGTGCCTGACCCAAACAATTGTGGGAACCTTGAGAGCTGCAGAATAGATGTGAAATTAAAAAGTTGGTGCTACCAATGCTCAAGTCACTTTTTTCGCCTCCTCTCTCTCTGTAGGCCATCACTGTCTTACATAATTTAAAACTCCTGTTGCAAAAATAAAAATCTATTTCCTAATTTAACCAGGGCTTCTTGCGTTTCTCTTCCCTTAAGCAATATTGTCAGCTTTCCATTGTCTATTTCATTTCCACTTTCCTCATATTAAAGTCCTGTCTCAATCATTTCAGGCTGGCAATACCAGATGGTACAGAAAATTAATGTATTTCCTGCACACTTACATTTATTTTGTACTTTTATTGCCAATAATGACAATACAAAAATACAAAATGAGAGGTTTTACAATTGCTATTTTGACCTCACAAAGAATAAATTTTCAGTAACCAAATCTTCTGGGTAGTTTGTTCTCTCAGCCTTCAGACTGTACTAAAATTTGGTACTCGTTGATTCTTAGTTCACTGTTTTTCAAAGCTCTATTTGCAACCCATTGAGTAAAATAGCCTGAAAAGCATGTATTATACAACAGGGGCAAAGTATCAAAAAGAATTATGATTACAGGGAGTCATTTTTGCCCCTGTCCCACTATTGGGCTTGAGACTGACCCTATTCATGCCTTTTAAGTAAATTATTTCCTATCAGCTACAGCGCAAAGGCCGTACTTCTGAAGCCTCAGTGAGACTACTCGCCACCTGAGATGCCATGAAATGGTAAAACATTTACCTTATTTTCAATCTGATTTTGTTCACGACTTCGTCGATGTTTGCCAAAGACTACAACATGGAAAAAAAAAAAGAAAGAGAGGTGAAAGGAGGGAACCTTTTACTGAGATACACATCAGCTGTGATACCCAACACTTCCTCACACGTGGCACTTTGCAAAGAGGAGAGCAACGACTTTGTTTTACAGATGGAAGAACTGACACATGCGCCCCGCACGTCCCAGGGGCTCCCTGCATCCCACCCAGCCTTGAGCAAGCAGGGAGCCCCCAGCCCTGCCTGGGCAGCAGAACTGCTCCCGAAACGCCGTGGTGACAGTGACCTCCAGTGGGCAATGGGGACAGGGCCCTCGCCTTCCCTGGCCAGAGACCCTTCTGCAGAGCCTGGACACCCAGCACATGTGGTGGAGGAGGCCCGGCTGCTGCTGGAGCTGTAGTGGGGGTATTTCAGGGAAAATAACGCCGCTACTGGCAAAGGGAAAAAAGCCAAGCCAGCATCACCAGCAAACTGACTAGAAAGAGCTGAAAAGTCAAAAAAGCCAGCGCTACAGGGGGATCTTAAACACAGTAAATGTTGAAGCTGCCTCACAACCCAATCTTCTGCTGTAGAAACACCTCCTTTTGCAATAGCTTGGTCCAAAACTGCCCCTGGGGCTGATGTGGGGAAGACAAAGAATGCATATGAGCCCACGGCAATCTTGCTGTCCACTTCTCAAAAGAAACGCCAGGTTTCAAACATGGATGATTCTCTAGTGACATTTCACAGGCAACACCTGCCTTATTTGACTGCAACTCCTGAGGATTCATTCACCAATGATCATTATATGGCAAGTTATGAAATTTACTGCAAGAGAAGCCTCTATATAGAAAACTAATTTATTTCTACAGATCAAAGCAGGACTTTTAATGCAGCAAACATTTTGGGTGGAAAGAAACTCCATAATGACAGCAAATCTCTTGAGAATGCGAATTTAAGAGGTGAATATTGTTACAGTCTTACTGCCTGCCCTACTGTTTAAAAGAAAAGGCTTGGGTACAGGTTTAAACACGTCTTCAGTCACTTACTGTCAGGCTACCCCTTGCACTGAGAGGGCCATGTGAGCACTACTTACTTGCTCAGTGGGAAAGAGAGTATTAATATACTCCACAGCATTGAAATCTGCTCTGTCCAGTGGATCTTGGCTGGGAAATACCTGAAGAGAGGGAGGAGAAAAAAAAAATGCAACCAACAATACATCACCATTAATCTCTGTAACTGTACACAGTCTCTACTACTTCTAATTACCTCAGCACCCACTTCCAATCGTGTTTCACAGCATTGTTCTAACAAGCACAGAGAGTGGTCAGGCCTCTGCCCAGAAGTATATGTGCTTCGCAGGTCTCTGACCTATTAAAATTCCTGTGGATATCAGCCTGGGTAAACACAGATAATATACCTGCGTGCTTCCACACACAGCTCCAGCACAATCGATCCCATGCAAGGAATTCCCAAGACACACAAGCCATTAATTATGCATCCCAAACCATTCTGATGCTTCTGCTGCTGTGTGGAAATGAATCCCCCTGCTGAGGCACCGCCATTATCGTTGCCTGGCCTCTGCAGGGCCCCGTGGTGAGAGATGGCGGATTTGTTTCTCACAGCTGCGTAATAAGAAACATGATGAATCAAGAAATGGTTGTACAAGTTCTCTGGAGAGTTGGGTTTGCCACTTTCACATGAAAAAAAGGGACAGAAACAGAATCTGCTGAATGATTCTTTCTACCCAAGGGAAAGGGAAAAGAGCAGCTGTGGTGCCAACAGATCTCATCTCTCCTCAGAAGTAGCTCAGACGATACAAACGCGGCTGCCAGGCTGTGCTTTTTGTCCCCACAGACTAAAACACTCTGTGTTCCCTTCTCTACTACTGTATTCATTCCATAATTATCAAGCCATCAGCTCCGTGCTCCATGGTCAAAACCCTACCCAGCAAATGTGTAGCTCACTCCACAGCATCACCTCCCCACGTCACCCAGGTCACTGAAAGCCTTTACAGAAACCTGCATTACCTGGGCACACGCAGCGTTTACACGTTTGGCAGTGCAAAAGCAATGTTTTCTTGAGATCATTTAAACAAGAGCAACCTCTCTCTGAAATAGGCCTCTTCAGCATCTTTCCCCAAGTTATGGCCAAGGAGAAGCAGGCAGCAGTTAAACACGCATGAGGTCGTGCCTGAGTGAGGAAGATGCTCTGACATCAGCCCATTGTAAAAGCACAGTTGCAGCATCACAACCAGCCTGTCCTGCTCTGGGCTCACAATTCCTGCGGATCCAACTAATCCCAAACCTCCCCAAGCACTAAGAGCAGCTGAAGCAAGGGGTGGGATGGAAGAAAGGCTAGCCAGGAACTCCACTCTCAAACTGCAGAGAGAGATGGATGCTGCAGGCAGCTGTACCATGTAAAGTCGCTACTCCTGGGTCTCTGTCACAACCATTAACTAGAAACCACTGCCCCGCATTTGGTGGAGCCCCAGTCTGCACGTGCTCCCTACTCCGCCTCAGGCAAAGTCAGCTGAGCCAGTTTTGCTCATTTAACCACAACCTGGCAGGCTCTGCCCAAAGCTGATTAAGGAACACTCACGGGAACCACAGGATTACTGGGCTGGTAAATGTCAGTGAGGAAGTGACAAAAGGCAGGAGGCAGCATCATTCTCAACATCTGCCCTTGCTCAAGATATGAGTATCTGCCTACAGCCTTACTGCCTGTTAAGATAACTCTGCCAGGGATATGGTGGCTTTTCCATCACTCCAAACCTCAGGTCAACACTGTCTCTAAAATATTTTACTGTGAAGAGAGATTTTGTGCTTGATGAAAACATCATTAGGTAACTTTATAGAATCATAGAGTGGTTTGGGTTGGAAGGGACCTTCAAGTTCACCTAGTTCACCCTGCCATGGGCATGGACACCTTCCACTACACCAGGTTGCTCAAAGCCCCATCCAACCTGGCCTTGAACACTTCCAGGGATGGGGCAGCCACAACTTCTCTGGGCAACCTGTGCCAGTGCCTCACCACCCTCTGAGTGAAGAATTTCTTCCTTAGATCTAATCTAAATCTACCCTCCTTCTTTGGCCATAGAATGCTAGAAATCACATCAGGCTTCTCTGGCTTTCAAACACTGAGGCTTCAAAAAGTACCGAGGATTCTTCCTTCTGGACAAGTTCCAGGTCTCCTTTAGGAGTTGGCATTTAATTTAGCAATTCTCAAGGTTTCCACAAAAATTACTGCATGGTTTACTACCAAGTGCATCAACCTCATGCAAAGATAAGAGTATGTGGGGTGTCTCTTTCTTTTGAGCAATAATATTCCAAAGCTGGCACAACATCCACAGACAAACCATGCTACCTTCCCCACCTTCTGGTGCTGGGCTCACATGAGGTGCTGTTCCAGCTACCATGAATCTGCCCTGGTTCCTTA